CAAGGCAACCTGTCTACTTCATCATCAAAGTATTCGCCAAACGTTTGGGTCTTTCTTGATAACAGCTTCTGCTTTTCGGGAAACAAAACGTCACCTTCCCCTTCGGAGGCAGTGTCGGTAGCTTCTTCAGCCTGTACACGACAACTTTCAAATTTTTTTAGTGCTTGCCTTGCCTGTTCAACTTCTTCTTGCTGTTCACAGCTTGGAGTTGTCCATTTGAACCTACTTGGAACTGCAGTTGCCTTTAAACGCTTTACTTTTGCAAGTGGGTCAATGAAATCATTTTTGCTAAAATGAACCGAACAAATTTTCATATGTTTCCTTATGGTAAAAAATCTGGGATCTTGTTTCATCTTTGTTATCCAAATATTAAGCCTCTTCTTGTCATTTAACGGGAAACAATGAAATGAAATATCTTCATTGCCATCTGAGCTATTGATGCATCCTCCAGAACAACAAAAATGCAGCATTTTGAACGTAAATAAGCGCACGCATGCGAATATCTTAGGCCATTTGAGAATGTAAACACCCATTTCAGGTCACGTGACAGTATAACAACAACAGAGCCGAATTTGTCTATTATTTCTTAATCCTCTGACGCATGTTTCTTTTGTTCTATTGCTCAAACGACAGAGAGAACTTGGACAACCGCGAGGGCCACCAAGCTGCAAGGTAATCAGATCCCTGTTTGATGACCTTTTCGTTGTTTCTGTGACGTAGGTCTTATTGTGCTGATGGCTTTTGAACAAAGAGTGCCACGCAGCAACGTAATCATTCCGTAGTTTCATTACCTCGAGAGCAGTTCCTCATCCTTCTTGATTAGTAGAGTGCTTACAAACGACTATCACTGGGGTATTTTCACTACATTCTGAGGAAGAAAATCTGATAAATCTGTAATTAAAAAAGGATGGTTAGCCATGCCCCAGAATAAAATAAAAAGGATGAGCCAGTGAGTCTGTCTATGTGTTTATTCGTGGATATGTGGATGTAACAACAAAGAAGGAAGGGACATTTTTTATCGCTGGTCTCTTTGTGATGGATGGTTTATCAACGGTGCGTTTAAAATTTAATAATTTATTTCAGGAATATTTGCCATCTAGGGAAGTTTTATTTTGATAAAAAATTGAAGATTAAACAATTTGAAGAGACTTGTAGTAAATTTAAAAAACCTTTCAAAAAATACTAATAAGTCTTCTCTTGGAAAATTATTGTCCAGTAAATGCGCAGAATCGTTTATCCTGGACAAATAAGTCTGCATGGAATCTTTGCGTAGTGATTCCTCATCATTCCTTTCAAGGTAAGCAAGTCCACTTTTGATTACCTTGCCTTTTTTAAGGCTCACGAAAATGGGCCTTTGGCCGATTTGAATAGGTCTGTTATTTCAGAATCGTTTACAGGCTCAAAACCCGTGGCATGAACTGTCATCCGTTCACTGCAACTCCGAAACAGTACCTCAAGGCATTTGGTTGTTGTGTTGTGCAGCGGAATATTCTGTGGTTGTAAGCACAGAATGGGAACTCAGACATTATGTAAATAATCAAGATCGAACTTAAATATGTTGGATGTTTAATGATGATTCTTTATGTACATTTTAGATGAAAGAGCCTTTTGTACTAAGAAGCTATCATGGTTTATTTCGACAGGGTACGAAATGGCAGTCATCGAGCATCCCAAAACCAAATTCTACCCAACCGCACAGCTAGGTTATATCGATGTTCCTTGTGCATTAGAGAGGTTGTTAGGTACAAAAAAATGCATCAAGATATGCATAAATGGTTCATTATCACATTGATAATGTTGTATATTTATCCGCACAAGGAAAAGCAAGAGGGAAATTGGTTTCGAAATTGCTAAAACAGTTGAACCATCAAGCATACAATTCTTCACTATTCTTAGGGTTTTTGAAAAAGTGTGGTCCTGAAATTTTTTCCGCGTACTCCATCCCCGGGCCCCCTGGTGGATTCGCTCGCTTTGCTCGCAAGTATTTGATTACCTACTTTGCAACGCTTCGCGCCGCCCCTGCTCATAGATTAACTTTGTAAAAGCTATATGGTCCCTTTAAAACCTTTTTGGCAAGGTGTTACATATATCCTTAAAAAAATGGTTTTTCCTTCATGAATTTACATTATGGACAGGCCAGCACAGAAAGGAGCCACTGTTTGTTAGCTTTTGGATAATTCTTACTTTTGAATTCTTACTTTTCAAACAAATCTATATCAAATTGTAGTAAGCCTATACAGCTGAAGTAAAAGTTTAAATTGGGGAAAACCAAATTTGACAATAAAGGAGGGTAAGGGTGGCATTTTAAGTTGCATATCATATATTTATGATAGTTGAAAAAGTCTTATTAGACTATTCCAGATTTTTGTCTTATAAACCTGACCAATCTAGAAACTGTATTGAAATAATTTTTAATAAACAACAGAGTTTAAAGTCTGTAGGGGAAAGTTCACATATTCTGCAGAACAATTATTTTGCAGCTGATAAAGATAGGAACAATCGAATAATGTGTTGCGTTATCAATGAAAACAACTTCATTAGCCAAACCATTAGACGAGTAAACAATTCAGGAAGAAAAATATATTTTCATACTAGCAGTTC